AGCATCCAACTCATATTTAGATTTAAAGGACCAAATAATTATCATGTAGAAATAAGGATAAACATTTGGGAATATTTAAAGGCCTTAGGGATTTTAAATTTCATCAAAATGAAACAATTTTTTTCAAAGCTCGAACTCTTTATATATTTAAAAACATATCTAACATAGAGCTAAGTTTTCAAAGATTATTGCACGCTTAAGAATGGGTTGAGTGCATTGTGTTTTCTTCTGCTCATGAAAAGCTTTTCACAACAGCCTAACCAACAAATGTCTTTACAATTTTCTGAATACTTTGTTGTTTTTTTATGACCTTATTTTCCCCGATTAGGGTAAACACCACTTCTTTTGCAGCTGCCTGGTGTCTTCATACCGTTCCTGCCAGCTACACTTCAAAACACAGAAATAGGTGTTTGGCAAAAATCTTGTTTCAATTTTCATGAGACAAAAGTCAACTTTCCAGTTACATCGGACTGAAAAATAGCTGATCGCCAGACTGAAGAAACTCATTTTAAAAATAAATATGACCATGATAAAAAAAAAAAGAAGTCTCCTTTAAAATGACACAGCGTTATCTTGATATGATACTTGGCTGTCACCTCATAAATTTGATAAAATTTTGATTCTTATCATTTCTTGCTTCTTGAAGGGCTCAGCATGCAGCAATGAAATTTATAAAACTTAGGTGGGAAAGTGAGGATAGTAAAAAAATTGCAGCAGTCACAATATCCACAGATTAAATAATCTAGGCTACCTGTTGGTACAGATTTTGGAAATAGAGATCTCAATTATGGGTGAGAAGGAAGGCATTACAAATGAGGACACAGTAATTTTGTTGATTTTTTTTTTTTCCCCTGAGTTGTGTAGCTCTAACCTTAACAGTTGCTTTTATTAGAATCATGTAAACAAGTAGTATTGACACAACTAAAATAAAATGAGTTAAAGAGAAAGGGCATAAAACAGATACTGTACATTTGGCTTAGACCCAAGTCAAGTGTAAGGCAGTAAATTGCCTTTTATTAATAATACTGATGTCTTTGCTGGAAATATATATATTTTTTTAAATCTTCCGAACAAATGAGCCATTAATCCTTTCTTTGTCCTATAGCTGATCAATCACTCATCAAAGCTCAAAGCTGTTTCCTTCTCTCCACCTGAGCCACAGCCCAGACCCTCACCATTTCTCTCCTGGACTTTCAGTAGGACCCTCAACTAGTCTGCCTGTCCACACTCTCACCCTAATCCCCATCCTCATTCACATCTGTGTGATTAGTCTAAGTTCTCAGTCTGATTAAAATTGTTTCGGGCTCCCTACCTCCTGCAGAGTAAATATCCAGCTCTTTATGTTGGGTTATGAGACTCCTTCCCGAGCTGGCCCCAGCCCACCTACTCTGCCACATCCTCTTCCTAGGACTGCAGTGCTGTGAAAAAAGTGCAATCTTGGCCATACTTTGCAGACCATACACTGTTTGAGGGCAAAAGCAATGCTTTAGTTATATTTTTATTCCCAATCCTAAGTATTAGTAATGAATGCTGTTATACATCCCTACCGTTTTTTTTCCCCCCGCATGCTATTTTCTCTGTTCTTGTGTCGTTTATTCCACCTGGTGAACTTTTATTCCTCTAAGTTTTAATCATATCACCTTCTTAATAAGATTTCCTGACAGAATCCTCCAAAAATTTAATTGCTCTCTCTCTCTTGTACAAGCTTACTTTGGCACAGTTCATGCTAAATAATTATTGTTCCCATGTCTGTCTCCCCTTTTAAAGTGTGAGAGTCCCAAAGGCAGAGTCTATCTTAAAATCTTGATACATCTAAGGATCTGGAACAGTTTCTAAAACATTATTCTAATGCGGTCAGTACTAGTCTAAGGACTTTCCATTATCTCATTTAATGAAACAAGTTTACAATAAATGGATATTTAAAAAAATTAAAAACATAAGCATTTTTACAAAAAGTCTCACTTGCAAGATATTCCAATATTGAATCATCTCTGGGGATTCAGAAAATAAAAAATGGCAAGTTTCAAATTGGAGAAGGATAATTTAAATGGCATAAGATATTTAGGGTAGTGGAGGGACTGTACCGGCAGGGACAGGGAAGAGCTTAATGGCACTGAAGGGTGCTCTTGGATACTAGAGTCTTATTAAGTACAATGCACAGTTTGTGATTTCACTGGGAGGTGCTAATAAAATGCAAAGAACCACGATCAGATCTTCAAAAGTAATATTGCTGTTTTTAAAGCAAGCCATTAAGAAATTTTT